TATATATATATATATATATATACTTGTGTTATATTTTATCATGAACTGACTCTAAGAACAGATGCTTGGCTCACTGGTGCAGCCTCTTTTAAGAAGACTTGTCTAATGTCAATGTAGTTAATCTTTTTAAAATTGAAAAGTTCGACGGCACCGCTTACTAGATACAGAAATAGCATTTTCTCGTTGCAACAAGCGTGCTTTATGTGCACTCCAATCAGTCACACAGAGTTTACAAAAAGGTTTTATTTTATTTGTTTACAGATCTATCATCGAGCAATGAGTTCTCTGATGGAATGAACATAATGATAAAAAACAACGACTCTAAATGTCATACGATTGTGACGAATCGGATTAAGATTTTGGTTTTAATCTTTATTTTGCTTTTATTCAATGTTTATATAGTTTCAAACAGAAATAAAATCTCAATTATTTTTCGATCAATACCGAAAACAGCTTACTATGTGGAACAATATCCATTTATATTTAATACAAAAACTATTCTGCTCCATCCAGCGAACGCACTTCATCAAATATACGAACAACATTTTTCCAATTATATCACTGCTCCGTTTTTACCGACCTATCAAAATCATCGTCTAATACTGAAATTCAATGTGAGTTCCTTCGCTACATATCTTTATGGTAATATAGATGGCTTTCAAGGAATGATTCGACGTCTAAGAATCACATGTTTGCAAAAATACGTAAACAAAACGACATTTGAGCTATGTTTCAATTTTACTTTAAGTTTCAATGTTAAGAAGTTTAACACATAAAGAATATATTTTACTTTAAATTCCATAACAGCTTCGGACCCTTCCTTAGTCATTTCAACCGTTCCAGTTAATAAACGAAACGATTTGATCACTCACATCATTGTTCATGTAAATCGAGTATTTTCCGTTGATACTGTTTTCAGTTTCACCTATCAGTGGCTCGATTCGGACATTTTGAATTTTTTTTATTGGCCTCAATGGACGTTGAAAAAAACTTGTACAAATCTTATTTTGAACGATGTGATAAAAAATCACACGGGTGATTTCCAACGCCATTTTGCTTGCTCGATTACTAGCATTTTAACTCATTCTACATCACGACAATTGTTTAGTGAAGAACGAATAGCCATTACTGATTGGCTAGATGCACAGTACAAATCAACGATAACAGATTCATTTTCCACACAGCATCTATTGAGCAGTTTACTATCATCCACAGCACGAACGAGACGTCTTAGTCCATTTGAATTAGCGTCGAACCCGAAGATCTGTTCTCCTGAATTTAATAGATGGATTTCGAAATATCAAGATTGGCATGAGAATGTCAGTTCGAGCATCAGTGATCCGAGATTGACATTTGAGCAGCAGCGTGATCGCATCTTCGATTTAAATATTCGTTTCATGCTCTATGAGAAGAGCTCTTCAGGTATGACTGATCGCATCGCTCATTTGATTTCAACCTATCTAATAGCGATATTAACTAATCGATTGTTTGTGTTCGATGCTGATTGGCCTGAATTTTCTCATGTGATGTTGCCAAGTTTGAATTATGAACGAGAGTTTGTGATCCCATGGTTTCGTAATCTAGACCGTCTGAATAAGAATCTTCTTCAAAATAGTACAAAGTATCTCACATCGAGTCTCTATACATTTTCTATCGACCGACTAAATCGCGATTATGACTATGACCGAGAGTTTCCAGAACGAATCCTCATTTTTCGGGCTCATACAGGAGCCATTGTGCATATGATGATGTCGAAAACAAGTATTTATCGCAAGTTTCTGACTGAGGTTTTACGCATGAGTGCAGATAGTATGTTCGGATGTCTCTATCATTCATTGATTCTTTATCGATTGTCAGCATTAATCGAAAGAACATCGACGAGTATCAGTTTCGATTCTCTGCAACAGAAGCAGCTTGGTCATACTCCACAGCAACTAATACAAGCACTTTTGTCGACAAACTTTTATCCTATTGGCATTCAAGTGCGCACTGGAGATTGGACTATGACATTCGATAAGTTTACAAGTTGGTTCAAATTTGTTACTAATGAGAACTCGGTATTTGAATCATTTCGATATTTCCTCAGTTGTGCACAAGATGTCGTCGATGGAAATCAAACATTCCGCACCGATGTCAAACAAGTACCGATCGCTTTTCTCATATCAGACACTGTGCGACTTCGTCGAGCAGCTTTGTTACGTTGGAAATTACCATCATCTTGTATTCAATCGTTTCGAGATGCATGCCGGAATCAGACACATGCCTTGCCTGTGATTGCCGATTCGAATCCTGTTCTTCATATCGCCTACACATCACAGCGCGTGTTAGCATTAAATCTGGCTCTGTTTGATATTTTTCTCTTTGGTTTTTGCGAGCAACATGTGATTAGTGCAGAGAGCGGTTTTGGCAATCTTGGAGCATTTGCAGCCTTGAAGCAACGAAACATCTATTCACTTTCGACGCTTACAAAAAGGTCGTGTATCGGCAGAAATCAAGCTATTTCTCTGGTGGGCTCCAGCTACCAATGGTCTGGGATTCGATAAAAACAAGATAGTGTTGTTTGTGTAATATTATTTGGTTTTCTTAACATTAAAGCAATATTAAAGAACAATGTTAGTGAGGGTTTGGATGGACGAGAGTATGGATGGATGGGTATACATTGATGCTGAATTTCATCTTAAGTCAGATTCACCTATTGAGGAAGAAGAAAGTTGTTACTGAGTGAAATGTGAAAGGTACAAATTGTTCATTGCTTATTGGAAGGGTGTGGATGTGAGTGGAAATGTGGCTGTGAGTATGGGTGTGGATAGGCAGAAATTCACCAACACCCACCCACACCCTACGCTCACACCCATCCGTACAACACGCGTAACATAAATTTCAACTTTTCAAAATACTTATTGAACACTTGTTTGATGTCATATAAATGAGTATTCTTGAGAATTTCATTCAAATCTATAGTTTTATTATTCTGAAGTTTCAAATGATTATTTAATGAATTTTTAATAGCATGAATAACGATTACAAAAGATTAGAGGAGAATTGATTATAATACAATTATGTCGTTTGGGAACAGTGTTGTTTCTACTCTTGTTTTCTATCTATGTGCAAAGATTTGAGCATAATTGAAATTCTTTATTTTATGAAATCTAAATGCTTGTTGTTAGCAGCATTTACATTAAATAGCAATGAATAACATGTCTTTATTGGTATTCTTCAATCATTTTCAATCAAGTTATAATCTTATAGCCTATTTCTTATTCAATTGTATAGCATTGAGTGCTTTCACTTTCATAAACACGACTATGCACAATATTCATGAATTTATTGATTAATCCTTTGGATCTGATATATACTACATATATGTTGTCATAAATATGGACAAAGATAAACGAAACATTGATTACAATAGCTTCTATTATGAAAAAAACAAACGTGGTCTTTTTATTAGTCTTCAATCTGATAATATTGTTCATAATGCTGCCGGTTTGTTCAATGAGAATCAAAATAAATATTGGTGATATTTCGATACATAACGAGCATACATGTTGATCAATGTGACTCAACGTACATTCGACAGCCGTCAAAATTTGATAGTGTGCTTTGTATATCTTTGCTCGAGATCACTTTCTCGATTTATGCTATCATTTTTACTAATATCTTAAAATATATTTACAAATACTAATTATGAGTATGCGTAGGTCTACATAGACTTGAATAAAACAACTCGCTTGAAAACAAATATTGATAAATGTGTTGGTTCCATTTTCTTTTAATAAATACTTTAAATAGAAAAGTGGTAAAAAATAGCATATTTCGCCTGTCCACGGAAGGTGTTATTCTGTCACGCTCTGTTTATGGTGAATGAGGAGTTGTGGACAGCTTTGCAATTTCTCATCTTGAAAAGCATACTTTTTTGTCCAAAACTGCAAAAACAGTTGATCTTAAACATTGAGTCGTTTGTACGTAATGAAACAAATAAAGCGTGACGGAATAACATTTTACGTGGACAAGCTCATATGGCACATTATTTTATTCGGTCTGTTTTGGGTGTAGGTGTCGATCTTTTCCTTTTTACCCACACCTACACCCACACTGCACCCATACCTCACACCCACATCCACACATCCACACCCTCAGCCGCATCCACGTCCTCAAGATAAGGATGTTTATTATTATATTATTTTTTCAGAAAATATCTTATGCAATAGTAGTTATATGAGAGTACTTCTTTTCTTATCTTAAGTAAACCTTTTCATACGAGCATAAACAACAGTTTATTGCTTGGTTTTGTTTGCGAATATAACTTTACTACTAGGACTCTGCTATGCAATCATTCTTGCTCAGTAAAGACATAGCCAAAGGAGCTAATAACTTATGATTTCGTGATAGTATGCTCATTAAATCATCTATGCAGATCTTGAAGAGTTTATTGATACGATCTACAAGAACATTGATGTCTGTTATCTTTATGGAAGAGATTAGTTCTTTTTAATGTCAAATCGAGAAATACTCTGAAAGTTCATGAAAGTTTCGGTTTTTACGAAATAACTGTATATATAAATGATTACAATTGTCGGATTGAACTATATCGAATCGGATGACAGTTTCAAGAGTTAAACCCGTGCAAAACTCCAGTGTTAAAATTCTCGTGAATTGTGTAAACTGTTTCTCTTGTTTAAATTTTATTATCGGCATGACAATAGATTGATATTATTCTATCTGTTGTCTTATGCTTGTCTTCGTTATATACAAAAATGAAATTATTATGAATAAAAACCAAAAAATGAATCTGTTGCTTTTTTCTTGGTTTTTTTAGACTGCCGTTTATTTTTTGATGTTGCCTGTCCATTTTCAAGATTATCGGACAAAACGTCAACTGCTGCAGTTTTTCGTGCATAAATCTCCGCCAAGGATATTGATTCGTGAATATCGTCGCCATTGCCAGCTATGGCCAATTCTATACACAAACGACGAGCATTCTCTACACTTAACTTATCAAACTTATGTTCGATAACAAGTCGCCCATCGCGTAGAAGAGCAGCATCAATACTTCGTACATCACAATTGAAAGTACATATGATTTGTTGATGCATAGCATCACCAAGTAGACCATCGGACAGATTCAACAAATTAGCGACGGCCTGATTCGGTGCAAAAGTGTCTTGAGTTCGATCACGGATTATGTTTTCGGCATCTTCCACAATTAGAATTGAATTTGGATATCGCATGAGAAACGGTAAGAAACCTGGCTTCGTCATATCCTAAAGTAAACAAAAGATTAATTTAGTCATTATTCTATGTTCTTCTATTAGCATTATCTGCACTTATTCTAAGATACAAATATAAATTATGAATGAACATGTCGATAAACATTATTAAATTTCTTAAGAATCACGATAAATTGTGTAAGGAAGAATTTAATTCGATAATGCTTAGTCTAACAATATATTCATAACTCTGACTCTTTATTCCTAAAATAATGATTCTAATTCTAGTTTCATAGGTGTTTGTCTCATGAAAATAGTTTGAATTTCATTAATCTATTCGTCATGTAATTCAAACTTAATTGTTCATATCAAATATAAAGTCTCCTTTCTTTAATTATTATTAACAGAGATGCTATGAAAACGATTTCGAATCGTTAAATTAGAATCCTCTTTTATAAAAAGAATCCAACCGAAATGCTATTCGATAGCTACCACCTATCAAATGCTAGTATTGTACAATGATATAGAATTGTTATTTTGGGTATGTATGTTACTATTATCTTTTTCTAGTACTTAAGGGTGTCCTAGATGTGTAGTTTATTATCACCAACGTTTGTGAGATCTATTCAAAATCTTAGTCATTAGCTCACTTTTTGATAATGAACTTGAGCCGTAGCAGTGACTTAGCCACGCTGAGAGTGGCGAAGTTAATAGTTTTAGAATAGACGCATAGCTTTGTGGTGGTTCTTCAATAACTTGATCAAATTCAATGGTTGAAAAGATGCATTTCTTAAAAAAATTCCATTGAATACTTAGCAGAAATTTGTCATAATAAAACACCATCTCAGGTATTTTAAATTGATTTCTAGAAAAATTAGATTTATAGAGAGCTATGATATTGAGTGTTTGGGTGATAAATTCAACGAATATATCGATTATTGTAATTAGAATTTATAATCCCATGTATTGGTCCAATTGTCTCGTTTAACAAGATTAATAAATCAACTAGCCGAGTTTTTATTCGAAAAAAATGATTTCAAACTAGAAGTTACTATTGAAAAATACTCAAAACAGACTTTTATGTGAACTACAAAACAATAAATTAATATGAGAAAAATGTTATTCAACTTACATTAACAAGATCAGGTGGAACATAGATCAAACTTTTGTCTTTAATCTCATTGATCAAATATCGTAAATAAAAAGTTTTGCCCGTACCGGGTGAACCATGAAGAAAAGTAATGCCAGTTGAATCTTTTTCTTGAAGCACTTCAAGAAGCTCTGCGTGTGTGTCCGGAAAATCATCACCATAATGAAGTTTAAGATCAGTTATGTGAGGCTTTTTCATGCGTATGGATGATGTATAGAATCCGCATTGAGCATCATGGCAAACCATTTGCAGAGTAGCTTCGGTTACGGGGAACAGTTTAAATTTCGTCAATTGTTGCAATAAAATTCGTGCACGTTCTGCTGTTTGTGGTACGTGAAACACCTGAATAAAAACAACAAAATATCTTTTCTGATGATAGACTTTCTCAAATCTCATTAATAATAGTTTAGTTTTTTTTAAATAACCATCTTTTATATCATTCATTTGCTCAGTAACATAAAAGAATACGAAACACTACTAGATTTTTATACTTTATCCAAAAAATTCAAGAAATATGCAACACATTAAAATTCAAAATTTAGCGTTAATCTGTACTCGAATTTGAGAGCTGTTCCTATTTACACAGAAACAATAAAAAGAATTTTTATTTCAAAATTATTTGGTAGAGAAGGCACACTGAGAAGTTTCACGTGTAATTTCATTCTATCTAAATTCGATGTTCTTCAATATCAGATGTGAGTGCGAATAACGATTAAACATTCACACGCATGTAGAGAAAAAGAACAAAAATAATCAAAAATAATAAATCACAAATGAAATCTAACCTGAAGTGTAGAAAAACAATTGAAGGTTTTGTTTTCATGATCTGATTCGAGATTGTTCGGATTGTCAACATTTGTAGGACTTATAGAACCACCATCGAATAACACTAAAACGTAAATGAACTGTGAACGTAATTCGCTTAGAAACTTATCAAGTAGAGTTTCAATTATTGTTGTTTTAACGAATATTCATAATAAAATGAACGGTATTTATTGATTATCGAATAAAAAATTTGCTTGTCAAAACGTAATGATAAACTTCTAGAAACTTCCTATTGTGCAAAGTTTTGACTTATAAAAAAATACTCTCAAAGGCACACATTAATAAGGATTCTTTTTAGTACACGCAAGATTATTAAGTTAGAAGTTTTTTGTATTGACAATTGAAAAAGACTATTCTATTCGTCGAATTTGTTTCTATGAAGAATAACATCTCAAAAAAGAAATATGCTTAAAGTAATCCGTTTTTCTCATATATTTTATAAAATCAATCAAAAAAAGTCGAATGAAATCAATCTTTTATGAATGATTTCATATGATTAATTCCTATCGACACGAATGTTTTTATCAATGATTCAGAGAGCTAAGAACGAGTTTTATTTTTCAAACTTGAGAATAAATTCAATATTGATCGATTCATTTTTACCGGATAGATAATTTCCCAGGTCAATATATATTTTCGACATAATAGAGTTTTTATTACACGTGTCATATGTCCAATCGTAGATAAATGTGTCTGTATCTGCTTTGTATTCGTTAGTAAGAAAGTGTAAAGAACTGTTTTAATAAAAAAAAAAAAAAATTGAAAGTTAATAAATAATTGTGATGAACAGTTTGAAAGCAACCCACCTAGTTGCATGATACATGCCTCCTTGTTTTCGTTTCGAAGACCATTGTTGCCCTCTCCTATACGCTGAAAACAGACCAGTCATATTGTAAGTAAAAATATCACTATAGTCGCCTATAGAACCGTTGGAATTTTGAGTAACTGTGCATGGAATTACTCGATATTTTAATGCAAAAAGAGTTGGTCCATGGATTACGGTTCCTTGTTGAACAGTGAGCTTCAGAAGATCTTCATTTGTTGGCGGCATGTCTTTACACCCACCAGAGTAGTTTGTTGATAGAATGATAGGACTAGGAACATCTTCATTATTCATTTTCTAAAAAAGAATATTGAACGACGGAGATTGTGATACAAAAAAAAAGCCCAAAAAATATATGTTGTGCACACAGTTGATTATTGATTGTGCAAGAACATGTTCTCCATATTGTTATTTCACAAGAAACTATTCAGCGTCTACTTGTCTTACACACACATTCACTCGATGATTACTTATTTACCCAGTCTTACAACTTTCTTTCCAACTTCATTCTTTTTTCTTACACAGTCATGAGTGTGGGTAGATGAGGGTGTAGTTTAAATAAATATGCAATTCACAATGCAATGAAAAACATAGAAATATGACTTGTAGAATAATAAACGAATAAATAGTACAGAAAATAAGTGAATGGATAAAATATATACAGGTGAATCAATAGCTGAATCAGGAAATAAACGAATTAAAAATTTGATAAAGTTTCTTTTTGTTTTGTTTTGAGTGATCAAGCAAACGATGGAGAGTTTCAACTTTGCATAAGGGTGCCTCATCAGATAACTTTAATCTGCATAAGTATTCGAATGATCATAAGATCACAAAAAAAGTTGCTAAAATCTAAATATTTCAAAAGATAAGTTTCCAGTGAAATTACATCGTTTGAGATAAATATCATACGTTAAATGTATGTTTTTGAGAAAGCATGACGAATTTCGACTTGAAGGTGTGAGTGTGTACTACTTGTTTTGACTCGCAACTCATTCTTTTCTAAATAATTACTAAGTAAGACTGGTTAAGTTTCAATCATGACTAGCTTTACTTTTGACTTTAGTATGATAGATTTTGTTCACATACAAATTTTGAGCTTCAGACAAATTTTGAAATTTGAACATTCAAGATAATATTTAACGAAAACTAACTCTGACTGCATAAATTTTTGGCTACGATAACAGTATCAATATTTCTTACCAGTTAGTTGAATGATTGTTCGTAAACTATATCTTAGTTGTCACTGCTCGCCTTGTAGAGAATATTGTAATTCTAACGAAGCAAGTGCTATATTTTATTAACGATGTTGTTCATTATATCAGCCCTCCAACAAACTTCCACAGTGGAAAAATTCCCAGTAAGTAACTGTTTCTGTTTGTTTGAATAGTGACTAGATATGCTGATTTTTTTCTTTTTTTTGTAAATAATTCAAATGCCATCAAGTACGCCACAACCCTCAATAGGAAAAAATCCAATTAAGTATCATTGACAGTTTTTCCACATAAGCAATGAAATAATTATTTACATAGTTACTTTCAATATAGAAAAACAGTGCCACTAGTCATTGAGAATCAAATGGTTACTGGGTAAGTTTTCTTTAGAAACTTGACGCAAGCATAATTGGTTTCGACCTTGCTCAAGGATCTGACCAGGTGGTTATACCAAATTTCACATCTCTTGTTTATCACGTTATGTTCGTGAACTGTTCGCCTCGAGACCGTAACGTGCGTGTGCGAATGTAGATGTAACCATAATTCTTTTCTTATATGGGACTCATTCCCAGACCCTCCTATCGTAAATCGCGTTTTTTTTTCGATATTAATATCTCAAGAAAACATATGGTCGTTTTCGTTGACACTTTCACGAGTACATAATGGCAATTAAACAAGTTTTGTAGACTAGGATGTGGGTATGGGTGTTGTTCGAATTTCAAATAAAATAAACCCACACAATCGCATGATATACACTCGACTTGAGATTATTTTTTTGTCAATTAAATAAGACATAAGTTATTAACCTTGCAAACGGCATAAAAATGATAGCTGTTTTTATTAGAGAACTAGGAAACGAACCTTTTCTTGTCCCGAACCTGATTCCATGCTTAGTTTTAAATAAATTTTGCTTATCTTCTGACCCCGACTACTTTTCTAAGAAATTTTTTGAAAGTGTAAACCTAAATTTATAAATTTATGCCTTTACTCTCAAATAGTAATCAAGTTACTTTTTACAATATAGTGAAACACAAGAAAAACATTTGATGGTCTTACTCAAAAATATGAAAACAATGACAAAAATTCTACAATCAATAAGATGGTTGAATTGTTATTGAACAAAATTTATGTAGAGCGCAACAACAGTACACCTATTTTAAAACCGATGCAAGGCATCGAAAATTTCGATTTTAGCGGTGGAAATTAAGATGAATGTCTTTTTTTGAAATCGTAAATGAAAATTGTCTCTTTTCAGATTCTTCGTCACAAAAAGTAATCAGTACAAAAATCCTAAGTCTAGTTCTTAGTAAAAAAAAATGCGTTCGGCTCAGCTTCAAAATTAAGTATATGTCTATCTCGATGACTGGGAAGTACTTCGAAGATTTCGATTTCTATTTTCTTTATTCTGATAGAACGACAACTAAAAGTGAAAAGGATTTACATGAACAGCTATCAGTAAATTCTTATATTTTTTAAGGTATAACTGATAGTAATAACGATGAGATGCCATAAAATATATGAAAAAAATAGAACAATTCCTAGTTAAGCATAAAACTAAGCTGGGTGTGGGTGGCGGGTGTGGGTGTGAGTGTGGGTGTGGGTGGTGTGAGTGGGGTGTGGGTGTGGGTGTGGGTGTCGGGTGGGTGTGGATGCGGGGATGTGGGTGTCTGGGTGTGGGTGTGGGTGGGTGTGGGGTGTGCGTGTGCGTGTGCGTGTGGGTGTGGGTGAACAGACGATCCACACCCACACCCCCGCATCCACACTCACCCCACACCCACACCCACACCCACACCCACACACCCACACTCACCACCCACATCCACACCCTTACATGGTGAAGTATTGATATTCAAAGCTCATTAATATTCTTTTTTCAAATATATATATATTGATTTATCATGTCAAATAAGTTTAATATAGATAGATTGATACCTTCCAGCTAATAATGGGAAATATCAGATATCGACTTTATATCATCATATAGTTTTTTAGACTTTTCGAAAAAGATTGTCCGTTTCTCCCATGCAAATAATGATAATGACAGAATACAAATCACTCCAAAAATTACAAACAACCCAAGCAATGATTCAATTCCAATCGCAGTAGATGTTACTGATGAATCAGGACATTTCTTTACTTGAAACCATGTGCGTCGCAAATCATCAAGAACGCCCGATTCTTTTAAAGATAATATATGAACATCTAAATCTTGTCCATATAACCATTGTTTAGGTGTAATAATACCAAAGACACCTTTATCAAAATCTTCACCAATTAATGTTGCATTACAATAGATATTATTAGTCAAATATTCAGCAACGCCTGCATCATTAAAGATTACATCGATCAGATTGTTTACTAAACTATCATACATTTCTTTTCGAGATTTTAGCGGATAAAAGTTTCGATTACCACTAGAGATTTCTCTTAAATAAAATTCTTCACTGGCTGTGCCAATAACAATACCAATACGATTGAATGGTATTTTACCATTTTTAATGTCATCGATTCCAGAAATAACATTCTTTGATTTTGCTATTGTTAAATCAGATGTTAAGTTTGCAGTGTATGATGCAACTAATACTAAACAAAGGAGATATAAGCCAGCAGTTAATAAACGTCCACTAGCTGTTCTAACATTAAAATCTGCACCAAATCCAATAAGATTACCGAAAGTATACCACACAGCCATTGCACATACATTCATGACTGATTGTTTTCGTCGTTTTTCATCTTTTTGTCTCTCTAATAAACAGATTAAAATACCAGTCATAATAGTAGTACCTAAGATCAATAACCAAAGACTAAGCGTGAATGGTTTTAAGAATGCCAAGGGATCGAACCGAGTATTAGGAGTTTTTCGCATAATAATGCGTAAAGAATTTTCAAATATTGCTTGTGAAAATCCAACTTTTTCTCTTCTTACTGCGGTAACTGTTACATCACCTACTATTATATCATAAATACCGTTCTCTATTAGTTTTCCTAATGAAGCGTATGTTTGATTTGATATTAACTCAATATTTGGAATAAATCCCATTTTCTTTTGCAGATGATCGATAAGATCAGGTATGTAACCAGTGAATTTCGTTATATTCTGTCCAAATTCATTGATTACCGAAGTAACAATGGTGAATGGGTATGATTCTATAACACCAATTCTTAATTTAACACCCAGAAGTTGTGCACGACCAGTAGGAGGTGTTAAAGAGTTACCTGGCCAAATAATGGCACGTGTTTCAGAATATTCTTCCCAATCATTTTCAACAGAATATCTCAATACTGGAACAAAATCTGGTCCATTCGAATGATGTTGATAGTTTTTTGCAATATAATAACAACCATTGATTCTGTCTGTTACATCACTACTAAATTGCACAGGACCTGAGACACCAAGAAATGTCATATTATCAATTATGTTGAAATATAAATAGTTATCGAGAAACAGACGATCAAAACAAGATGAAGTGTTGAGAAAAGATATACATAAAGAAGAATGATCAATATTTCTTGAACAAAATTCTTTTAATGATTGAATCAATGTCCAAGTTGCATCAAATGCGAATAATGCGAAATAATCAACGTCGTTCGAGTTAGGAAATGTTTCAGGTTCATACTGTTGCCAAATGTTATAGGCCTCCTGTAACAATGTTGTATTAATTGGTGCTTGAAAAACATTTCCTGATGTAGGCTCAACAGTAAGTATTCCAATTAATTTCTTGATAGATATATCATTAAAATGTAATGGAACACTTGTACTTAATATCCATGTGAAATGTGGACCAAGTACATCAAAATAAAGTGCTGTAGTTACAATTGAAGATACATAATTTGCTTCAACCCATAATATAACAATTCGTGATGAACTACTAGTTAAAATATTTTTTAAATTATCTCGCATACTTTCTTTTGATATATCAAATACTAATGTATTTGTAACTATAAAACCATTAGGAGCGAATGCTTCAGTTATTGCTTTTAGACCGCCAAATCCATAGGCATCATTTTGATGAATAATTATACATGAAGTCCAATTAAATCGAAGAAATAATTTTACAATTGCTGTCGCCGCATTATTATCAGAAGGAACTGTACGATAGAAAACCGGATAAGTTGCTCGATCAGATAAATTCGGATCTGTTGCAGCATGCGATATAACAGGTACTTTAACTTGGTTACCAAACTCAGCAATAATAGGAATTTCTCTTGATAATACTGGACCCACAATACCAATAATATTATAAGCAGATAATGCGTCACATGCACTACGAATAGCATGTATTGCTTGACCTTGAGTTTCTCCTACTTGCCAATTAATATATTGCCCATCAATTTTTATATCATATTGTTGAGAAAGTATGACTGCTGCTTTAAACATAGCGCGACAATGACTAGCAGTTTCAATAGATTGATAACCGTTTACTTCATCCTGAAAAAGGCCTAATAGTCGGATAGTAGATGAATTTGATAAAGGCCAACTTTCTTCTCCATATTGTCCGTTAAATTTTCCAAATATAGAGAGTAAAACCAACCATTGTAGATTCCAAAATAATAATATGATCCTCATTGTATTTTATCATATATTGAATGATTCAATTGAACGTATGAGAAAATAAATTATACTAAAATTTAGACACAATTCATATCAGTAATAAAATGTGCTACTCTCTATTGGAGCTATCAAAATTTACTATCTTAATTTCCAGAGTCTCGAAACGAATTAAGAAATCATAATTCATAGCACACGAATGAAACAAAATTTAAGTGAGAAAAGAAGTCGTTACCTTTTCATTTTATAAAACCGAAGGCTCTTAGATAGTTTGCATAAGGCAAAGTCAGAGATGAAAGTGATCCGATTTCCATTATTCTATTGGTTTCTGAAAAAATATTAAAACTTGCAAAATGTTCTATTCTGTATGATAGAATATATAGACAAATCAGTCTTAGAAGAAAAAGCGTTCCGTATCAATACACTTCTGGAATCATCCGCGACGCTACATAGATTATTTGAGATACTAATGGCTTCCAATGTGGTGCTAGAAGCTATCCATTGTGTCTTTGAAAGAGTAACGTAAATTGCCCGGAATATCTTTTAAACATAATGAGAAATTAATAGAAAAGGACTCAATCACAATAATGATTAAAGTGCCAAGTGACATTACATCGAAAAAGTACTTAGAATCGATTTAGCAAAGAAAAATTGAGATCCTAGACTTTGATCTTTGGTTTGCGAAGCAGATGTCAGCATCTATTTGAAGACGAATCAAATATTTCGAATAGTTCATAGACGTGCACCATCTTCCGAAGAAGATCTGATTTACTGGAGTTCTGAAAATACTACTTCTTAAATACAGAAAAAAAGAAAAACTATGGCAGCTTCTTTTTACAGAAGAATATCTTTCCAGAATGTGTTGGACCATTGCTAGAAATACTGTCTTGCAAAGTACAACACATGCACACATTTTATTTTAGTGTGTATGTACGCTCTTGATCTATAATTATAATTTTATAGAGAACTAAGACTCTTCCTTTTGCATCTTTTGTAGATATAACTGAAAATAGCTTTAATCTTTCTTTTTATTTTTCAAAATTCGAATAAGTAATGTACTCGATTAATTGATTCATTGAATAAAATGTTTTTCCTACGGAAAATGAATGATTGTTATTTTTTAGAAAATAAACGTAAAAATAGTTGTCTCATTATTCACAAAAAAACCATAAATGAATAAGAATATTGTACCCCGAAAGTGTCCTATTTAAGTTGAGCTAGCTAATTAAAAGTTAATTATATATTAGTCACTAAAAAACTTCTACTTATCTATATACTAGTGAACAGATGAATGGAAATGTGAACAAGTTAATATGAGTAAAACAAGGCAATGCCACGTGAATGTCGCCAACCCTCTACTAAAAGGATTTGATGCTTCAGAGTTTAATGCAGCTAAATAGAGAAATCTAATAATTACTGCACTCATACAAATACACAATGACGACCTTAATAACTGTATTGTGAAAAAAATTTGGATTTTTCCAAAAAAAGTTTGTACAAGAAAAATTTTTGGAGATTGTCATCTACAAAGATGATTCCACTTGATATTGAAGTTAGAAAAATAATAGAACCTTCCATATACAAGACAAGGTTTCTACTATTCTTCGAAATTCAATGTTTCATCGGAGTTAATTTTAACTGTGAGAAACACTCCGAAAAACATTTTTTGTTCAATCGTTCAGAATATGGATGTTTTATTACTATTCTGAGTTCTTGGTAAGCTATCAACAATGTTACATTTGTTAGTCGCAAGATCATTTCTTTTGACTTATGTCGACTGTTTCTTTCTCAACTCTCTTTCTGTAAATGGTTGATTCTAATAAAACTCTCATCAATGTTTAGATACGCACAAGAAAGCTATTCGTAGTAACCATTTCTACATTCTAGATAGGATAAGCGAATAAATATTCGTTGACAGAATATGTAACGTCAAAACAATGTCACGCATAGTGTACCATTGGTGTATATCAAACTTCATCTCAAGTCAATTCGTTCATAATTGAATGTTATAATTACTAAAGTGGTTCATAACGAAACGAACTGAACTCGGTCTAGCATTGAAAACTACTATTTTGTGAAAACAAATGACAAAGAATTTGAATTACTCGCAAATGCTACACGTTGCATCAAAAGCGCTTACTTTAACCGTTTCAAAAAACTTCAGGGAAAACAAACAAAGAAAGATAAGATATTCTATACAGAGAAATCAATACAGCACTTTAAGAAACTAATAACAAACTTAAACTGCAACCCTGAAAGCATTCAGTCAAACTCTATAGAGAATATTCTTGACCCCAAAACTTTCTATCAAACTTTATTTTACTTGACTCAGCTGCAACTAGAATAGCACTTACGAACAAACGAAGTTGACTCACTTTGATAGACGTATTAATTTTCATAAAGAATTCAAAATAATTTTACAGATTCTCTTATGTATACATATCTCCTTACGTATCGACGTCAAACTATGCAAATATTAACTAATAGCCTATTCTGTTTTTTTCTTCTTTTCGTATATAAAAACAACAAATTAAAGCAAAATGATTGTAACAAATATAGACGCGTTCTCCTTTCCTATTTACGAAGAATATATTTTTTTCACCAGTACTAAACCTTTACTTTCAAAATACAAAAAACAAATGAATTTATCTTGATCAGACTTGGAAACCATTTTTCCTATTGTAATGGAAAATGTATTCTGCTAAAGAGCTGAACAAAAGCCGTCTCTGATGTTTTCACTAAAGATCGAAAAAGTCTTTTATATATTACAGTTTAGATTCCTTACAAAAGGAAACAGTTTGTTAATTTTATCAAACTGTTCCATATTCGTTTGCATTGCTTATAATAGGATTTTCATTCTAATAACTTTATTCTGCGGGGCCATATCTACCTCTTCAGTTGACCTTTAAATAGTACAGTCTTGATGAATCCTTTAACAGAAATGGAAAAACTAGAAAAAAATAAATATTAAAATAAAATATTGAAAGTAAAGCTTTAGTAATGATGAATAGAAGAAAAAAAAATAATATTCTTCATAAATAGGCGATGAGAGCGGAACTACATTTATGTTGCAATCATTTTTCAATTTTCATTAATTCAACTTTCTACATAAAAAAAGAAAAGAAAAGTTGTTAATTAGTGTTGCACGCACTCTAATAACACCACATCAAAAGAGAGATCTATATAGAATTATCATATGCATTATATTATTTTGAGGTGTTCCACATAAATGCACCTGATTGACAAAGGATGAAATTATGCTTTTGGATATTTCTAGCTTGCTTTTATAAACAACTAGCGAAACTGAAACAAAAAATCAAATTAATAGATTTTTTTGATAGAGTATCGGGTTCAATTTCAATATTTTTAGGAAAAAAAACTCATATCTTTGCTCTACAGCATCCGTTTCATCTCATTCTTTTCTTTTCCGGCATAGCATGAGTGACACTCTACATTTCTGCTGATTTCTCTCTTATTGATTAATTAATTTCTAAATGAGTACTGATAGTTACAAAAACATGAAGTTGACACTTGCTCGTTCTGTTACTTTTCTAATTCAATAATTAAATGCATTTTTTCCCTAGTTTGATTATCTACTCAGCAGCAAATGGCAGTTCTCAGAAAAATAGTTGTTTCATGTGAAAAAACGTTTCACATTGATAAAAAGATTATATAATTGAATTCCTCAACTGACAATCTATCTACTCGTAACTTTTTTTTCAATATTTCGCATAATCTTTACCATTTTCATTACCCTACTTCAGGCATGCTAAAACACAGGGACAGCGCGACAAGGGAGGGGGATAGGGGGGGTCACCTTCCTCCTGCTTCGGAAAATTTTGATTGGAGCTTTCTCCGAATTTGAGAATTTTGGCAGTGCCAATTTTCTCCGATTTTGAAGAACTGCTGTAGACAATTTTCTCTGAATTTAGGGTGTGGGTGTGAGTATGTGGGTGTGGGTGTGAGTGTGTGGGTGTGGGTGAGAGTTTGGGTCTTTGTTTTCAATTTAAACTCCTAACCCACACCCACACCCACACCAACACCCACACCCACACCCACACCCACACCAACACCCACATCAACACCCACACCCACACCATACCCACGCCCACGCCCACCCACACCCCACACCTACGCCCACACCCACACCCAAACCAACTGACTGCAACTTGTACTAAACAGAACCATAACTTAAAAATATATGTTAAAAATGTGACTTGAGAACAATGCATTTTTGAAGACTTGCACTGTTTAGTACCATAAGCTCTAATTCTTAAAAGAGTTCGGTCATCAGTAGAATCGTCAGCATTCGTTCAGAGTCCAATTAGTTTGATTCATGTGTGATGTGCTGCAAGTATAGATGTCATTCCTCCTAGTTGTATCATACAAACTATCAAGAGATAACTGTATACCATCGTAAATCCTGTCTTGCGCGAATCTATTGTGACCTGCATCTTCTTCAAATGCATTTATAAGGGTTTTTCCGTATTTTCTATAGGATCATACATATGAGCTTATGTTCTTTTTCTTCTTTTCTCTTATTCTTAGTCGGAATGTGGATGTGGTTGAGCTGAAGTCCCACACAACACAGTCATACCCACTTTCTGATTTCTCAACTATACATACAATTACTTTTGTAAAAAAAAAATTATTTCTATATTCATAATAAATGCAAAAAGAAAAACTGAAAAAGAAGACGAAAACAATACAATTCTTGAAACTTCGATATTGGTAAGACGTCTTCATTCATTTTGTTTTAAGGATGACAAAGCGAAACCATGCATTGGTAAATGTGATTCACGATGAAAACAAGCACTAAAACGATCGTTTGGTTTACAAGGAGCCAATAGCTGTCACGTCTTTCATAACAGCATAACTCATCACTGGCTTATGGTAACAATTATATGAATAGACTTCATGAAAATCTCCAGAGACATAGCATGTCTTTTATCCGGCAATACTCTGATTAATTATTCTAACGGGTACAAAGAGAGTCTTGAGTTTAATGCGCGATATAC